GCAGGACCCAGCCCTTGCCCTTGTTGATCCCACGGATCCAGCCTGGCCAGATCCCTCTGGAGAACCTGAACTTTGGAGCTCTTCCCAACAACTCACCGAACCACCACCTCCTGAACACAACCACCATCCCCTCTGCACTTTGCCCCTGTGTGAGCAGCCAGCAGCCTCCAACTCACTTGAGGGGATCCTCCTGGTCGCTATCGATGCTGTCAGCCTCGCTGTCGGGGTCCCCTCGCCACGTCTGCTCCACAGTGATAGGCTCCTGCTCCCCGTCACTCCAGCTGTCCTCATCTGGAGGGGACAAGTTGCCCTGACTGATAGGACACCAGCCTCACAGCCTGGAGCTCGCTGCCTCCACGGGACAGTTGGGGGACCCAGGAGCTGGCTCTGCCTCTTCCCAAAAGGCTTCTCCTCGCCAGCACGGCGTGAGCGAGGGGTGTGGGACAACGGGAAACCCACCACCCTGGCACAGTCACTCACACAGCTCCACTGGTGACAATCCTGCCCACCCAGGAATCACAGACTGGCAGCTGGACCCCAGCCCTGAGTTGCTGTTTGACCAGCACCACAAGAGACTAACCCAGCAGAGAGGGAAACGTTCCTACCCTGCAAGGGTCGAGGGAGGAAAAGCTGCAGGATTTTGGTCTGGCAGCATGAATTGTCCACAGACAACAGCAGGAGAGACATGTTGGGGTCTGGAGAACAAGATCTTTTCCCCACCCACCCCTGGGATCTTTCTTCCACTGGATTTAAGAAGTGATTTTCTTGACATTTCCACAGCCAACTGAAAACTCCACGTCCTCTTTGCTTTCAGTTCTCACCAAGGATCCGACTGGCTTCGCTGCGGCTGCTCTCGGGGGTCTGGGAGCCCAGCTCTGTTTTGGCATAAGAACTCAGCTGGCAAAGGAGCATCTCGCCCACAGGCCCAGGACTGGATTTCTTCATCTGTGCCTGGAGAGCCAGAGCGTTCCTCCGGGCGTGCTCCGCGCAGAACGACGTGCTGCAGGGACAAACCACCAGCTCCTTACAGCCCCGAGCCCTCAGCCAGCAAAATGAATGAGGGGTACAGTGAGAAACATCCCCTGGCACCCAGGAAGCACGTCCCAACCCCCTCCAACAACCCCACAGGGCGAGCTGCTGGCTGTGGGGGCAGCTCGGAGAGCCCCCGGGGTGGCTCGTGGCCCGACGCTGAAATGCCACTGCTGGCACTGGAGCTGGTGGCCACAGGGCAGGGAGAGAAAAGAGCTTTCTGCTCATGCTGCTGAGGTGAGCAATTCTGCTCCCACGCGCTGGTGCTGGGCTCTCAGGCCACGCTGGCCAGCAGTGGATGGAGGATTTTGGTGGCAGAGGGCCTGGAATGAAGATCCCCAGTGTCCACGTCCCTGTCACCTCTGGGGAAGTCCCTCTCGTAAGGGCCACTGTGCTCTGCTGATGTGCTCCCTGAATGTCAGTAACTGTTCCAGGGCCTTCCAGCCAGAGCAGCCAACACATTTTATATGCTTCAGAGAACAAGAAGCACAAGCAGGTCATGGGCTCCACAGAGCAACGATGGGAGTATCTGGAGCAGCTCTGGGATGAGGACAGGCTGAGAGCCCTGGGGCTGTTCAGATGGAGAGGAGAAGACTCAGAAGGGATCTGATCAATGCTGAGCAAGAGCTAAAGGGCCCCCAGGGGGGCAAGAGGATGGGCCCAGACTCTTGAGATGATCCCCAGAGGTCCTTTCCCACCCCCAGCAGGCTGGGATCCTGGGGCCTACACTGAGGATGGTCTGTAAGCACAGAGAGCAGTGAGTTCAGTTTGCTGGGCTGAGCGGAAGGACGGCCCCGCGTGGGTGCAGGGACAGCTCTGACCAAGGACCTGGAGCTCTGCAGCCACCTTCTGATGGCTGAGGGCAGTAGCCTGACAGTCCTGCACGACCAAGACAACCCTACACAGCACCCAGCACTCAAAGTCTTTCTTTAACCTTAAAAATGCTTCAGAAAGAGAAGCCCACCCATCTGAAGCGACACCAGTCGAATCAGCAAGACCTTCTCCTGCCCATTTCAATCCTGTGTGGCCCAGAAGAGGAGAAGCAGGAGATGAAGCCACTCACCCATCCTTTTTTTCTGGTTTCGGCGCAGCGTTGGGACACCTCTTCCCATTCTTCGTCGAAACGTAGCTGCACTGCTTGAAAGGGGCACTCCTGTCCTCGAGGATGTGCTTGATGCAGAAGTCCTGCCCCTCCAGGCGTGGCTGGGAGCACTGCCGGTGGCTGAAGGAGCAGGACAGAGGCTCCTGGGGCCTGGGCAGGGGCGTGAGGCGGCCTCGGCTCGAGGGCAGAACGTGGATCCGGATTCTGTTCATGCCAGCAGCTGCTCCAGAGAGCAGCAAGTCAGGGAAAAGATAAAGGAAACAGGCATAAAAAGGAAGAAGAGCAACGTCTGCTAAAGGAGATGAATCAATCCGAGCCCCTCAGGCAGGAGGCAGATGGAGTGGGTCTGATAAAGAGCATTTCTCCCCAGGTCTGGGGAGGTTTTTAGCTTTGTAGCAAGGCCACAACGAGACACATCAAACCCCAGCTGCTGAGCAGCAACATCCCAGCCAAGCTGTGGGCACAGAAAGTGCTGCTGCCCGCCAGCGTTGTGCCCAGGGGGGCATACGTGGCCCAAAGGCATTCATCTGCCACCCCAATGCCAGCCCCTCTCCTCTCAGGGCACGAATCCCTTCACCCTGCACCCTCCTGGGGGCTCCCACCCCACCCCATCCCCTCAGGGCATCGCCTGTCCCTCAGCCCTCACCTCATTGACTCCACCACGGTGCCCAGTCCGGGATCCCTCCTGCCCAGTGCAGCACCAGGGCAGGACCCCCCCTCCCAGTACACCCACCAGTGCAGCTCCTCAGTGCCTGGCCTCGGGCTCCTGGTGCCCATCCCTGCTCTGAATGTACCCCGGTGCCCCTTCCCAGCTCCCCGTGCCCTGCCCAGCTCTGTGCATGCTCCTGGTGCCCCTCTCTACCTTACAGTGCCCATCCTGGCTCCTGGTGTACCCCACTACAAGCCCTCCAGGCTCCCAGTGCCCACCACATCTCCTGGTGCCTATCTCCAGCTCCTGGTGCCCATTCCCAGCTCCCCGTGTCCGACAGTGTCACCGGTGCCCATCTCTGCCTCCCGGTGCCCATCCTCACCCCTGGTGCCCATTCTAGGGCCCCAGTGTCTATTCCTGTCCCCGGTGCCCATCCAGGATTCCGGTGTCCATCCTCATCACCGGTGCCCATGCTGGGTCCCGGTGCCCATTTCTGGGTCCTAG